AGGCGGATTCCGTTGGAGCCAAAGTCTTTTGAAAACCCCCAGACGACGTGAATGAGAGCCGGATCGACGATATTTGTGGTGTCGACGGAGAGGCAAGATGTGAATGGTGTCGATGGTGGGATGGAATCAATATCATTTGTGAATGTCGAGAGACCATAGACTTCATCGCTGATGAGATGAAGTTTATGCTTCTGGCATAGTCTCATCAGACCAATGATTGCGTCCCTTGTGTAGCATCGACCGAGGGGATTGTGAGGGTTGCAGAGAATGATGCCTGCCACTTTCTGGCCACGCCCGTGGGCCCGGACTATTTCTCCCTCGTAGTTCTGGACGACGTCGATACCGAAAGGATCAAGGCCCTCGCATGGAACTGATATGAGATTTGTGGCTACCCGCAGTCCGGTCGTGGGCACGAAAGCGCGAAAGAATGGTTTGCCCACCAGGAAGAAATCATCTTGGTTGCCGAAGGCCCAGGCGAGATGCTCGATGGCTGCGCTGCAGCCGTTCGTGATCGTGATGTGTGAAGCTTTTACCCTCCGATAGGCGTGGAAATGCTTGGTCAAGAACGCTCCGAGGGCGTTCTTGAGGCGCTTCGACCCAGTTGTACCATCGCCATAAGTGAAGGCTGTAGCTGGGATGAGAGGAACCTGCGCAACGCGCTTGAGGAGGGCTTCTTGCATCAAGACGTTCTCTGCCATGCCCAAGCTCACGTAGCCCTGAGGGTTGCTGTCTGGGTTCCAGAGATCGGCTTGGACATCCCATAGCAGTGAGCCGTTGGCGGGCGCTGACGCCACCGTCGCACGCGCTGAGAGACTCATAACGACAAAGCAATAACACGCCGGACTTTGAGCGGGAAACGAGTTTGAAGTAAGAGTCTTATTGGAATCGGAAGTTCGGCGTTTGGAAATAAGTTCCGGACCGCGTTCAGGGCAGTGACTCATTATTCGGCGGTGCAAAGCCCGGATCGACCCCACCAACTCACTGGGACAGTTCGATTTTAGGTGACAAGTGCGCCCTATCGCGGTCGGGAGCAGTGACACACAAACACCGACGGTTCATTTTGCCAGGCAAATACGCTAAAGGTAAACCATTCGATGATTGGATAGCATGAGATATGTTTTATTTCGAGGGATTGGGTAGATCTACAAAGCAGCATGCATCCAATCTGACGTTCCTGCGGCTGCTTGGTGCTCACATACCTTCGGCAGTCACTGGCTTCAGCTTCCGAACGCTTTCCGTGGTCCTGTCTCCGCCCTGCACTTCAGTGAACTCTCACTCTCTTCTTCCCCCAGCAAGTCTGTCTCCCGATTCGTGTCAAAATTGCCGACAAGAAGTCCAACTCCGTTGCCGTCTGGCCGGGCATTGGCTGGAGTTCAAGGCCATTCTGATGGTTGAAGCACTATGGTTTGAGGAACCTATGTGAAGATTAAGTTCTTGTGATAGTTGAATTCGAGTGAGAAAGGAAATACCGTTTTTGATTGAAGAGACTGTGACAAAGTTCATTGTCTTCTGGGCGAACCGGTAGTCTACCTAAGTGTCAGATATGGAAAACATACGGCACGAATGATATGCTGGTGGGCGTTCATGGCGACTCTATCCAATAGACACTGGCTTTCGTAAATCATGATCATTGAAGACATGATTAGAAATAAACTAGCTTTGCACAGGCGGTGGTAATAAATTCTATGTTCTATATACCTTCAGCTTCAATATTGACACGGGCTTGGAGCTGAACGCAAAACCTCACCAAACCCCAGGTAAGATTCGCCACGGAACAATTTTGCAGTACTCCCCCCACATCGCTCCATACTTCTTCGAACACCTTGCCTCATCGCGTATGCACCGGTGCACCAGCAAGATCGTCATGAACATCGCATAGAACCATACCAAGCATTTGTCAGATCCGACCAAAGCACACATTGCGCTACTCAAAAACAAATCTCCCAAGTAGTTGGCATGACGCGACCAGCCCCACCAGCCACTGCAAATGAGAAGGCTCTGATGACTGTGACCGTCCGAGGTCTTGTAAGATGCAACAAGGACCTTAGCTGGCTTCCCCCAGATGGAGCAACGGCCATTGGAGCGCCGAACCCGGTCCTTTTGGCTATTGACGGACCTGAAGATGATGTACCCAGCAACTCCGATAGAGAAGATAACGACCTGGTAAATGGTTGATGTGGCTGTTGGGTAAAGTCCAAGATACTGGGTTTGAATGGTGTACATGCTAGGGAGCCAGACAAAAGAACCCCAAGCTAGGTAGAAGCCGAAGTGGTCATGCGCAATGTCGATAGTGCGCAGGTACCAGGACTCATTGACGAAGAAGTCAAGGACATATACTGCGTGCAGGATGGTAACAAGAACAATGTTAAGGTCGATCCGGCCATGAATCTCGTACTGATACGCAATGTTGGACAAATCACTAGGAGTGAATCAGCATACGTGTGTGAGTTTTGGACAATCTTCGTAGAAACCTACATAAGCGTCCATGCAATGATGCCGGGTCTACCGTTGGTGAATAACTTTAGATCGAAATCACCCCAAATTCTTGGATTGAGCTCTATTCCCATGTACAAGTCGTATAATACCGATCCTGGCAAATGTTAATCATTATCGGGGCATTCAAACATATTTTCGCGGTTGCCTCACCACTAAACTTCCGATCATCCGCATGCGTTGGTCTCAGATGCGCCTTGATGAAAGCCAGGACAGAGAGCACTAGGCCGGCAGCGTTCATTGAGAGGACCAGACTGCCCCAATTCTTCGGGATAAAGGCAGGATCCAAAAAGTCGAAGTAGCAAAGCGCAGCGGCAAATGCATGGGTAACGAACCAAGCGTTTAATCCATTAGTTCGATAGGTCAACAGGTGTCCGGCAGGGCTTCTTTGACCGTGGTGTGTTGGCCCTGGAAGATATCGAAAGAGGATGCCTTGGAACATAACCCACAGCGTAAACACGCCCGTGACCTTGAGACTGAACTGCGGCCAATTGGACCATACAACAGAGATCAATCCGTCCTGTAGAACGGCCTTCAGGAACTCGGAGAGAGAGCCTTGGAATGCAGAAAGAGTGACAGTGGTGGAGATGACCAACGTCGGCGCGAACATCACAAGGAATAGTGATCCGACTGAGCGCATCCAGGATCCGCGGCTTTCTCTGCCCCAAGTAGGCTGCTGCGAAGGCTCAAGTTGAAGCAGAGATCGGGAGTAGTCCTTTCTCATCCTCACGAACGTCGCCTCTGGCGCTAAGGGAACTTCGAGAGGCTCCATATTGACAGTCAATGATGGAGAGAGAAAAGAATAAAGGCGAGCATAAACGTATGCAAGCTCGAAACGAGCGACTCCGTGAAATTGGTGATGACGCCGATGCTAATGACTTAAAGTCAGATCGGCAGTATGATGTTGTTATTCAATTACTGAATACTGTACCATATAACATGGATTACAGAAAGCCACAGATATGTGTTTGTTTTAACACGGCACTCCCTCTCTTATAAGTATGAGGCGTACATAAAGTTCGGGGCTATATAAAGCCTGCATAAGGTAGGGGGACCTTAGGGACACCTTCTCAAGCCCGAGCCCCTGTTTCGCGCAAAAGCGCTTTTGACTACTGCGCGCTGAAGTCCAAGTCTACATTTCAGTGCGGAGCCGTTATACTTAGCGCTGAAGTCGTTCTTCTTCTTCTTCAAGATGCAAATCGCAGAACCAAAAGTTCATACTTGAATTATGCTGCAGGCTGATGAAACGATTTTATAAAACAGAAATCCAAAACTCCGCTGCCGATATGGGCCTTGGAGAGGTCTCTTTTTTCCTTCTAACTTTCATTTATTGATTCTTTCGCATAGCAGGTTACCGCCTGCGGGCACACCTTGTTGATCACAAGATGCCTCTGCCAGGAACACTTTGGAGGGCCAGAGTGCATCACAAAAAGTCTCTTAATCGTTCATGTTGATATATATGTCATCACTACTTGCCCTCGGGAGTCGGGTCACGTATCGTTATGGCGTCTCGGCATTTGGGGCCGCCAAGTGTGAGGCGCCTAGGCCGGAGAATCTCGAAAAAATGTCCCGCTCGCTCCGAGACTCGAGCATTTTCGATGCTAATGATCTAGCTTGGCACGCTTAGAAGCTCAGCAGGAGGTTCGTGCAACATGGGGCCACGGTAGTGTGTACAAGCGGGATCAGGTGTATGGCTTAGCGCCTCCCCCTAGTCCTGCAAGCACATGGACCGGGTGGTCTCAGAGACAGCACATGGAGAACTAGTCACATCACCGTTTCTTCCACTGAGTTGGCCTCGGAACGGTTCTCCCGGGACACATACTCACGAGTTCTGGATCTGGCAGAAGATAAGGTTTCCTGTTAGACTGTTGGCGGGGCGCCGATCACAGAAAGTCATATGGGGCGGCTCTCTCAAAAGCCGAAAGTCACCATGCAATTCAGCAACAACAGTCAAGCCGACCAAGCTTGGGGGTCGGGGCCCCATCGCGACATAAGCAAATATCCAAGTTCATTCGAGTCGCTTTGATCTAAACCGACCAGTTGGTGATGGCAACTACCAAATTCTCTGGTCCCCTGAGAAGTGCCAAGCGAAAGAATACCCCAATATCACACACCAATAGCACCCAACGCAAGCAGTCCTCAATGCCTCCTATCCGATCGTCATAATACTCATAGCATGTAGTGAAAGACACGAATGTCTTTGACTTCAGGGTCGAAATGGCCTGAACAAAATTCTGCCCGGATCACAACACAACACGACAATGTGGCAATGACTTCGTGACCTATGTCATGTCTCTTATAATTTGTCTGTAAATATGTACATGTTAGAAAAGTAAAGCAAATGACAGCAGGTCACAAATAAGCAACAGAAATGCTCCCAAACAGGGACCAGGGTGGCTGTCCACGAGGTAGACAATAACGAAAGAGTGACCGTGAAGCTGGGAAAAGAATGATGAAGCATCGATCCCATAAATCCCCAAACCCCTCCCCCCAAAAATATTCCACTCTCAAACCATGAGGCTCACCGTCGGAGCTGCGCTGACCGTCGCAGGAGAACTAGCGGTTGGCGTGTCGCAGGCCTGCGGAAGATCCTCGAAGTTGAAAGTTACCTGCCGACAGCCGCTCCGAACTTCCGGGCCGCTGCGGATGTGAACGTAGGCCTCGTTGTCTTCGGGATCTTGGCAGTCGTAGAAAGAAGACTTCGTGTTGGCTGTGCACAGCAGTTCGGTTCCCTGTCGCGCGCAAGTAAGATACGAGAACGCTCCCGATATCTGGCCAGGCGTATACATGTAGATTAAGCCGTTATTGTTGGAATGCACAGCTGCGTAGATGTCCACTGGTGTACTGCGCGAAATGTCGCGAGTCTTGAGGTAACCTTCGTTGGTCAGGGCCCACTCGAAATGCGTACCGTCGCCGCGGCGGTCGTAGACCAAGAAGTCGGAGCTCAACTTGAGACCATATCTGCTGGTCTCTGTAGTAATGCGAGCCGTGAGGTTGATGGGAACGGACTCGCCGCAGACAGCGATAGGTGGGAGTGGCGCAGCGGAGGTGGGTGCAGTGGTTGAAGTAGAAGTAGCCGTCTGAGATGTGGTGGTGGTGGTGGAGTTTGATGGGGGCAGCGCCTTGAGGGTGAACCAATTTGACAAAGCTGTCTGCCAATCATCCAAGTTGGAGCGATCACCATATATCCGCAAACTCCTGGCCAGGATGCGGTATTCGCCGGGTACCAGAGTAGTGCCCTGGCTGATGTTCATGGAGCCATAAGCAAACATCCTCCCGGTGGGAATTCGAGGTTGGAACAGGGCGGGGAAAACACGTTCGGAACTGGTCATGGATCCAAACCACTTGTTCTTGCCTGGAACAGGAGGATAAACCCAGTCCTCAGGCGTCCAGTCCTTGGCCACGTACTAGATGACAAGACCGCAGTTAGCCAAAAACGTCCAATTTTGGAGGTGTCCACGTTGGGAGGTTGGTGACTTACATCGAAACTCTGCTCCTCACTCGCCCAGCTGTTGGTATAAAGAGCTGCCGGCTGCTTCTCCCACTGGCCAATGAAATATTCCTCCCCGTCAGGGAAACCAATGAGACTGTCCGAGTTCTTGTTCTGGATAAATGACGGGGTGTAGAGCCATGAGTTCTGAGAGTAAAGGGGACCTTTGACGCCTGCGCAGAAGGAAATATTAGCAACAACCATCGACGGGCAGGACCGCAGCTCGTACCCATATATGTGACCCGGACGTCTTCTCCATTGGAGCCCCAGAGATGAATGTTCCCACCGTACACGGGCATGAGCCCGTAGACGCCGTTGTCCGGTTCCGTGAATGACGCCGTTATCTCAACCGTCTCACCTGGTCCGACTGTGACACTTTCGGCTGACAGGGCCACCGACGCGAAGTACCCAGCGATGTCGGGATCTGTGTCCACGTACTTGGTGCTGATCGAAACCGCTTGAAAGCCATTCAGATTCTGGTGAGTAGCATTGTACGTAACCACCTCTTGGCCTCTATTCGTGAGCTTGATTGTGTGCACGCCGTTGAAGTGCACGGTGTCGTTGAGGTTGAGGTTGGCAGGCGACACGAACGTGTTGTACTCGACCGCCCTGACGGCATCAACGATCCCAGCCCCAATCTTAGCCACGGGACTGTAGTCATGTAAGCATATGGACGTGTATGAGAGGCGAAATGTGGCAATGTTGGCGGAGAACGTACGTGTAAGCAGAGTTGTCGTTTCTCATGGAGACGGGCTGACCGCTGGCAATGAGCCTTTCGTGCACCAATCGTGCGGCATCAGGGCCCCAACCAGCGCGGCCTCCCTTGGACCCCAGTATAAGAGCCGCAACGCCGGCAATCTTCACCTTCGTCAGTACATGCAATCATTTTGCTGTGAAGTTTGGATTCATACATAAGGAGTTGCCATGCTAGTTCCCGAAAGTGTGGCCCACTTCCCAAGCTTGAGGGGATACGTGGAGAGGATGGTTGCGCCTGCAGGACTGTGTTAGGAGACATCCGAATGAGAAGAGCAGCATGTCTGTAAAGACTTTTGCTTACCGGGCGCGGCGATCTCTGGCTTCATCCTGCAATCCAATGTTGGACCCCAGGAGCTGAAAGCACTCGTCCTGACTCCATTGGCGTCGGTCCAACGGTGAGAGACTGGCCTAGGGTTCTCTTCAAACTCGAACGTGACTGTGATGTTGTTGTCGGAGTGTTGCAGCAGCCATTGCCCGTCCTCGTAGGTAATTCCGGCCACTACGCGTCGCGATCAGCTTTCGCAGTCATGGAATTTTCGGCACGATATCCACTTACATCCTTTGGCTTGAGCTCCAGCATCTTGAATAAAGCGATTTGGAACTGGTAGTCCCTCGCCCTGCTTGCCGTAATAGAACACCCATTCGACCCGACCCCAAGTGATCAAATCCATTCTTGACCAATCGCAGTCGCCCTGTCTGTAAGAGGAAACATTAGCAGAGCTCTGGGCAGGATCTTCTGGATCGGACACACCTTTGCACCAAAACGTTGCCCTTGGGAACTCTTGGTTGGGTAGTTAGGAAGTCGCAAACGTCCCGAGTTCGGACATCCGGATAGAAGAATGTACCATGATCGCCGACGAGATCGAAGGGACGTCACGTAGGTTCCATGTAGATCTAGATTGGAAAGGTTGGTCAGCAGATAACATCTTGCAATGCCATTTAGAGGACTGTACAATATCACGAGTCGTGCCGTTGGCCGATCGCGCCTTCACTGTGTACACAACACGGTCGCTCTGCTCAACACTTCCGACCGTTGTGGTGCCGAAGCCGTTTCCCAGGTTGGTGGTCCAGAAGGGTCCTAAAGGTGGTCAGTTAAGGCTGCGGTGTCAGGAGTTGGAGTTGGTAGACTTACCAGCGCTGCCACTGTTCCCGGCGGCGGCAGTGACAACCACACCTGCGGCCTGAATCTTCGATACCACAATGGATGCAGCAATGTAGGGAAAACCAAGTGCCGAGCCGAGAGATGCAGTAATCACATCAGCTCCTTCTTCAAAGGCTCTCAAGAAGCCAGCAATGACAATGTCCTCGGTGGTGCCATCTTCGCAACCGAAGACCTTGTACATGCGAAGGCGCGCGTTCGGCGCCACACCCGGGTTATACTCGTTCTGGCTTGCGATGATGCCAGCAACATGAGTACCATGGCCCGCACAGTCCATCGGATCCGAGTCCGGGTTGGTCGGTCCCCCGGGACTGTAGTTGTCGCCTGCCAGATCATAACCGCCTTCAACCTTGAAACCGGGGCCGAATCCTGCGCCGAGGGCAGGGTGGTTGTAGTCAACACCACTGTCAATCATAGCGACAACAACGCCGTCACCTTTCTGCCCCCTTTGATGGACTTCGTTCACCCTGGTGGTGTTGTGCGGCGACCATGTGGGCCGGTCGGAATCGGAGATCACAGCTTCTGAAGTGGGCGGAATGGTGAACAGTCCCGCGGGCCAGACCTGAGAAACGCCCTCGATAGCCTTAATCTGGTCAACTGAAGTCGAGTTCGCATCAAGCACGTCGACTGAGACGCCACGAAACAGGCTGGAATCGAAGGTCAGGGCCGGCTTCGTGTTCTTCTGGATGTGAGACGACACGGCTGTTGCAAAGCCTCTGACATCCTTAAAATCGTCAGCGTTTACGTATAGCAACTCGTCTGTCCGAGGACCCTACGATTGTGCCGTCTCTCTTTTGAAAGTTGGCGACCGCCCCTTCTTCAAACAGGACGATGTACCGGCTTGGAGCGGCCACTGCCGCAGCGAGAGCAGCATCATTGCCTGGCACAGTCGCGCTCTGGCCTATGCCGGCCAAAGCCAGCGATACTGCAAGTGTCCAGAGAAGCTTTGCCGCCATGTAGCTCTGCCGTAGTGTGAACTACTATCGTGATGAAGAGCAGACAAGAGAGCGTCGCAGAAAACGACAAAGACGACCAGGCACAGCTGCTGCTATAACTCGAATCTTGATGTGTTTCCCAAAGCGTATTTGAACTCTTGAACTCATCCATGCTGAGTATGAGTCCTTCTTTATGCTTCCTCTCGGCGATGTCGGATTTAGGCTCAGTCAGGCTACGAAAACACGACTTCATCCCACCTAGATCTCGCATGATCCTAACAATTGGACATGCAGACGGAGAGGGGCTTAATGGTTCGATGGTGTTGAGTAGCCGCACAGCTGCATATGCGTGAAGCTAGCTGTAGACTTTGGGCACACTACCTTCTTGGCCCGAATGCAAGGTAACTAAGTCGGCGAGCCTCCTCTTCTGGAAGGTCCGGGCTCCTCTTATTACGCAACAGCCAGCAGACCTGATGAGTACCCTTTATATGTCACCCATGGTTCAATGCTCTTGGGCTAGAAAGACGGTAAAGTGGTACATTGTTTCATATAGACTGGTTCAGAAAATGGTCATCTGAATTATGCATTCGTGAGTAGCCCGCCGGGATCAGTTGTGATTATAACAAGCTGTCCGAGAGTGTGTGCGTTCTAGATGAGGGGCTCATTTCTCGCGCCAAACGCTTTGAACCCCTGTTTCCAACGAACAAAAACGTGAAAGGAATAAAGAAACCAAAAGAGAAATCGGCATAAAACGTCAAACTCGACCAGGTAGCACGTCAAGAGGTAGCATGCGACTTGGAATTGAGGGCATTTCTGACCCCCTCGGCTATGATGGATTGCTTCTTCAAGCAATGGCTAACCCCAGCTTGGTCACCATTCTTTGTGGGCATTATCGTAACCGAGAAATCAATGCCAGGGTAGCTGTTCCGGTGTGGACAATGGACGTGGTGATGTTGAACTCGCTTGTTAAATCCTGTACGGGGATGCTAAGTTTAATGTGACTTCTGAAGAGTTCCGGGACATATCCGAGGGCGATCCCGAGCCTCACCTTATCCACCTAGATTGATTAGATGTGATGATAAAGCAAACCATTGGAATTAAGGTTGAGTTATTTTTTACCCACGAGCTGCCCGTTTTGGACCAACAAGTTTGTGTACTAGGACCCTTGATTGCTACCCTCACATTCTACTAGTGGGCCAGATTGTCTACAAACCTGCATTCGACAGACTCGCGTTTAAGACACGGCAATAATTCGGAGGTACCTTATTTGAGTTCTCAACCCTGCAACGCAAGAATCTATTCTCCCGGCTGCAAAAGCTCCCTGTCATCAGCGTTGGATCACAGGTACGCATGTTGCATCCGAAGCTTTAATTTGTATGATGACCCACCTCCTGTGACATTTCCCTGGTTCTTCGCGCCTATTCAGCCTAATCTGGGACCTTGCACTGCTCACAAATGGGACTCCGTACCTAGCCAGAGGAGGTGACATCAAGAACCAAGTCCCAAGCACGCATCCCGCGCATTCCGCTGTGTGATGGAGCAGAACAGTCACAACGGGGATCGGTATTTTGACTGTTAGCAGTGGCCAACGGATCTTGCGATGGCAACTCCACCTACAATGCACTAGCTTCGTGCAAAATCATGTCATTCTGGGAGTCCACATCACTCGAACCATGTCAGGGGCAGGGTTTTCTGCGTCTGCCGTGCGTCGGACAGTCTGCCGTTCTGGTAAACTGATAATGCTACACTTCGGCGCCCTGTCTTCCGAAAGGGTGCAAACTCAAGAAGTATTGATCACAATGGTCCTTTCCACTCTTCTCGCTACCAGGGATATTGTGCTGCATGTCCCCGGGGCTCAGGCAGGGCATTCTAGGCTCCGAAAAGGTACGGTGTATGAAGGCCATCCCACCGGATGCGAGTGGAACACGATCCTTTGTATGCGGGGCTGGAACCACTCGAGAAGGATAAATGGCTTTGGTTTTAGTTGATGGCCTGTGCTCTCTTTGGCGGACAGATATGAATCCCACCGTAGGTAGAACGCATAGTAGTTCGCTCCCTTTCCATGGGGTTGGGGCAGGACTTTGGATATTGACCAGTGTCTCTTGTTACATGGCTGGAGCTGCAAGCTCTGCCGAATAGTCGTCATTCGGTAGGTTCAATCTGGTACTTGATTATTGATGTAGAAAGACTTAATTGGGTCAAGAACTCTTAGTACGCATTAAGACCTCATATGATACTATGAACTATTAAACAAACAGATGAGTTCGCTCTCGCGGGTGGCTGGCTAGTCAAGCGAGGGCGGAAGTCATCCTTTGTCGGCGGGATGTGTTACTGAACGTATCGTGCCGGAGCCCGGTTCGGGCGTCTTCATAGTCCAGAGAAAACACGACCGTCTGGGTGAACTGGAGTCTTTCAAAGCTTCGCCACGCTCCTCGCATGACGTATGCTGTTGCCGGTAGTCTTGCTTACTACGAAGTACGTTTCATCGTCGTTTCTATCTGGTGGAACTTCGGATACGAGTTCGCAGAACCTAAGACAGACTGTCTTAAGAAGAAAGGGTATGGTTTTCATTGAGTGACCTTCACTGTGCGTAAGATTGGCGTCTCTTCTTACTCGGTTTTATCTTTAACATGCGTGTGTGAAACAACAAAACGTCCGTATTCTATCAGTTCCGCCTATTGCTATCAAGTGTTAAATTCTACTAACTCCTGAAGTCGCCTCGTGATCAGAGCTGCCGTTGACTCTCTGAATCTCGCCTTGGCTAGATCTAAAGCAAGCTTACCGGCCCGATCCCTTACCAAAACATCAGCCCCATAATCCAAAAGAACTGAAACACACTCAGTCATTCCCTTCTCAGCCGCAACATGAAGTGGTGTTTTTCCATCGTTGTCGCACTGGTCGATGTCTATCCTCCGTTGAAGAATACAGCTGATGACGTCTTGAAATCCCTTTTCTGCTGCGTAATGCAGAGCTGTTCTATGCCCAGGAGGATGTTGGGCGTCAATAGGATACCCAGCTGCAATAAGCCTCATAGCTGCAGACCGGTCACTATTAATGACCGCTCCAGTAACCGCCAGATGAATTTCCTTCTTAGCTCCATGTTCGAGGAGGACCTTCGAGGTACCAGGGTCTTCATTCGCAATCGAAATTGCGAGAGCTTTGGACAGTGCGGTGAGGCCAATGCCCCGATTCAACAGGAATCGAATCAACAGCGGTGTTTTGTTGTAGGCTGCGGCGCATAACAAAGCCTGCCCTAATTCCTTAGACTGGTCTGTGGCTATATCTGAGATCTCAATGGCTGATGCCACAATTTGCAAACTTCTGCTGCGAGGAGCTTTGTCTTTGACGCACGTGTCTCGATATTCCATCGCCGTAGCTATGGCGACTGGTATGTGTGCTCTCTGATCTGTTTGAATTCCGCAACTGATGTGGTGATCCAAGACTTGTAGGGCTGCGAGATGACCCTCGTCTATGGCTTCGGCAACGGCGACTAATTCAGCTTGAAGTCCTCCATGCTCTTGTGCGAGAAGGCCACTGATTAAGTCTGTATTATTTGCTTGAGCGGCCATTCTGAGAGGATTTATACCCTGCAGGCTTTGAGAGTCACCTTTGACACATTGCATGACAATATGTCGTCCAATGCAAATTCCAACATTCACACGCCAGTAGCGAACAGCAGCAAGCCTGAATATTAGTACTGATTTCTCCAAGAAGTCCTGGGCCGAAAGGCTTCTGGGGTCAAGCGACGACTTGTCTGAGTAAAGCCTTCGTAGCTGGCAGGCCATGTCAGCAATCTCGGGCATATTGAGTTCCAATGCCAGGAGTAAGGGTTCCGATGATCCTACAATCGCGGCTTGTCTGCCGACGGGCACGTTGTCATCCATGAGAATTGCTTTCAAACTGTCCTGTGCCCTTTTGTACCGAGAGGACTTTTGGCACCACTGCTCAAAGGCGCGGGAAACATAACCGTCACCAAATATAAACCTGACAAGGAGGCTTTTGAGAGGTTCCGACATTCGAAGATTTCCGCACTTCTCAACGTGCTTGTCCCAGAAGGATGATGGGTAACGAGTCCTTGATCTTGAACCTTCAAGGACAGTGACCTGGGGTGAACGCAAAATACTACGTAAACAGGCCTCTGTGAGGACCTTATTACTAGTAGAAGGAAGGAACTCTTGAATACCTCGGTTTGTGAGGTTTTCAAAGAACTCTCGGACAGAGAGATGTGATAGTTCTAAATAATCATTACCTAACCGAGTATTGGAGCGTCTTGTGACAAGATTGTCGCACACATCGAAGATTTCGGAGGGGCTGTAATTGTATTGTAGCGAGGCAGCTGACAAATGTGCTGATGCAATTGCGGCAATTTCGGCTGTCGCCAGGGTTCCTTGGGCATACAGTAGCCATTGAAAAATGAACGTCGCAAGTCTGGAAGCATGTTCCCCTGATGCCCGTATGCATTGGAAGATATCCCAGTACGATTCCTCTAACGTTGCGGGGAGGGATCCAAGTTTTGTTAGAACGTCTGCGGGAAGCTTTAGGGGACGTAGAAATTGGATCTGGAGGGCAACCCAGCGAAACCTGAAGAAAGAACGAGCTATTAGTTCCGCTCAAATAGTGATGGTACAGGTTGGACTTCTTACATGCCACGGGCGCCATGAATGAGACTGTGGGTGATCTCTGTCCGCAGATGTTCTGTTAGTCTGCCATTCAGGAGTCGAGCCTTTTCTAGTTCGCTTTGGCTTTGTGTGCCGAAGGGTCAGCCTCTTGCAGCAAGTTTGTTACTGCAGATGAGGTACTTACATGAAAGCTGTAACGTCGTCGTCGTTGTCGTCGGCTTCGATATAAATATTCGGCGACCCGGTCAGGCGAAGTGAGATATCATGGTTGTCCCGGCTAGAAAGAAAGATTTTGAGAAGGTTTGGTGATTCGTCAAGGAGTCGACTCAGCGAATCCAGAAGTCCTTGCCGATCTTCCTGGTTTATTTCATCCAGAGCATCAATGATGACTGTAACAGAAGG